GTGGGGTACCTCTCTGGTTGGTGCGCACTTGGCTGGGCTGGGGATGGGGTCTGGTGGTGGCAGGGCCTACCTGTTCAGTTGTGTGCTGGCACCACGGGGCGCGTGGTCTCCACGGGACTTGGGCCTCTCTGGCAGGGCGCCTCTCTGGTTGGCGCACACTCAGCAAGGCTGGGGATGGGATCCGGTGGTGGTGAGGACTACCTGCTCGGTCCCGTGTTGGCGCCACGGAGCGTGTGTTCTCCATGGGACTTGGGCCTCTCTGGCGGGGTGCCTATCTCTAGGTGTATCTCTTGAAAGATAAAAAAAAACACTAAAAATTTTTTGTTTATTTGATTGTCTATCTGATTAGCTTTAAAAATATATAGTCTGGCAGCTTTTGTTTTTTAATTGGAAATTTTATTCATTTACTTTGATCACAGTTATTCATATATTTAGACTAATTTCTGCCATCTTATTTTGTACTTTCTAATTATCTTGCTTTTCTATGATTTACTTTCTTTTCATTTTTACTCTTTTTTTTCTTTTGGGTTGATTACAATTTCTGTTCCTCACCCATTTTCCCCTCTGTCCTGTGAGAGGACATGTAATTGACTCCTTTTCTATACGTGGTTACTGTGAAATTTTAACACGTACATTAAAAGTCTAAATGCAATATCTTCACCCTCTAGTGAAATGACACAGTAACCAAAAGAACATTTTAATTCCCTCATCACACCCTCATTTTATGCACACTATTTTTATCCACTTAGTTCTGTTGTGTTAATCCCACAAATTAGACAACATTTGACAGTGATTTTACAGACAGTGTCTGTTTTCATCTTTCCAAATGCTCACCATTCCTCCCTGCACCCCAGCCCTCCCTTACCCCTCTCCACAAGGTTCTAGAGGGAGATGTGAATGGGCGGGAGGTAAGAGTACTCTGCTGCAGTCTGCCCAGGACTCTGCCAATGCATGAGATTCCTCACATGTCCGTGGTGACACGTGCAGTGCCTGCAGGTTGCTGGGCCACATGACCAGGATGAGCAGAGGGTCCGGCCGTGCTTCCTCCCACTCATTCCTTCTGCTTGGACTCGCATGTTTCTACAGGTTCCCCACGATCTACTCACTAAAGAGCAGACTTCTTAGCAGGTCTTGGTGCCCTTCTAACTCCCAGTGTTACTTCACATCCTCTGCTGAACCAGGTGCTGTGGGGGCATGCCAGCTCTCCCATTGCTGGCTCGTTACCTCCGGCCAAGCTAATCTCTCAAAGCTTCCGCTTCTAGTGCAGTGCTCAGGTTAGACAATACGGAGGCAAATTCTTTGTCAACTCTAATATGCTGCCGTCTTATTTTTGCTTGCTTTCAGCATCCCCTTTAAGTGATGGGGATGATGAGTAAGAGTGATTTGGAAACTCTGAAGACTAGATACACGACAATGTTTTTGAAGTTCACTGATCTCCTCTAGAAGATGACTGTTCCTTCTTGGTGTGACTGCATGACTGCTGGATGAGACAGAGGTGGGTGGTCTGCCTCGATTCTCCAGGTGTCTGTCCAGGCTCTGCATGCTCTGCATCTGCTCCCGTGTCCAAGCACTTGGTGCTTTCTCTCTCAGTTCTGAAACTACATGTGACCCAACCCGGACAGGACACGAGAAGGTGCGTGCACAGTTTCCAAGCTGATGCACAGCTGTACTAGAGAACTTGACCAGATGGTGACTGATGGTGACCCCAGAAATGTCTGTATTAGCATTATAAAGCACTAAATGGTATAGAGATACTGTTTACCAGCGTCGCATGGGAAAGCGCAAAACAAACAATCGATATAAAAATCAATCAACCAAACCAATCACAATCTCTTACTCTCACGCTCATGCACACAACCACAACATTTGGAAATTTCAACCAGAAACACTTTCCTGTCAACTCTAATGCTGGCATCTCCCAAGTCACCAGTGAGAGCTTCCAGCTCTTTGGCCATAGAAAACCCACAAGTTGTTCACCAGATGGTCCTGCAGGTCTGAACACCTGACTTTAGAACGACTGTCCGGGGTGAAGACAAATAAACCCTAACCTGATCAGTTGAACNTTTTTTTGTCTGCCTGTGTTATTTTAAACAGCCCATCTTCAAGGTCAGAAGTTCTCCCTTCTGCTTCTGCAAGCCTCCTGGTTAAACTCTCTGTTGTGTTTTTTAATTTTGTTGAATGAATTCTTCAGCTCAGCAAGCTCTGCTACATTCTTTTTCAGGGCATTAATTTCCTTGTACAGTTCTTCTTTCAGGTCCTGTATACTTTTCCTCATTTCATTGTGTTGTCTAGCTGAGTTTTCTTATATCTCATTTAGTTTCCTTAGAATTATCACTCGAAATTCCTTGTCAGACATTTCAAGGGCTTCTTGTTCTATAGGATCTAGGGCTTGAGAGTTATTACCCTTGGTGGTATACTTTCTTGATGTTTCATATTTCTGGTATCTTTCCTTTGATGTTTAGTCATTGTGGCAGGGGATTTCACAGTCCACTGGTTCGACACTATTGTCTGGCTAGGATCCTGCCGGGGCTCTTGGTGCTTTCTCTCTCAGTTCTGAAACTACATGTGACCCAACCCTGACAGGACACGAGAAGGTGCGTGCACAGTTTCCAAGCTGATGCACAGCTGTACTAGAGAACTTGACCAGATGGTGACTGATGGTGACCCCAGAAATGTCTGTATTAGCATTATAAAGCACTAAATGGTATAGAGATACTGTTTACCAGCGTCGCATGGGAAAGCGCAAAACAAACAATCGATATAAAAATCAATCAACCAAACCAATCACAATCTCTTACTCTCACGCTCATGCACACAACCACAACATTTGGAAATTTCAACCAGAAACACTTTCCTGTCAACTCTAATGCTGGCATCTCCCAAGTCACCAGTGAGAGCTTCCAGCTCTTTGGCCATAGAAAACCCACAAGTTGTTCACCAGATGGTCCTGCAGGTCTGAACACCTGACTTTAGAACGACTGTCCGGGGTGAAGACAAATAAACCCTAACCTGATCAGTTGAACCGCCCCTTTCCAGGGATGCCAGGCACTGTGTCTGCTTTGAGTCTGAGAATCTGCTTTTGCACACACATGCATTCCCAGACGTATATGACCACCCTGCAGCCAGCGTTAAATGAAGACTGAGCCATTCTAGAAATCAGGCTTCTGACCCCACTCGGCTCCCATTTTGATACCTTCATTCAGGTCATTTGATTAGGACCCACCAAGCCTACCCACCCAGAGCGTGCCTGCCAGCCCCAGAGGGCAGGCATGCATGCACACTCTGTCTCTATTTCACACTGCCGGCCAGGCACAGCCAAGGGCAGCCCTAATGGTGCACACAGGTCAGGAGAAATATTGCGGGGCAGAGGGTCCACAGCCATAGCCTCCCGAGTGGGACAGACAGATGTGTCGATGACCTCCTCTATTTCACACTGCCGGCCAGGCACAGCCAAGGGCAGCCCTAATGGTGCACACAGGTCAGGAGAAATATCGCGGGGCAGAGGGTCCACAGCCATAGCCTCCCGAGTGGGACAGACAGATGTGTCGATGACCTGAGAGCAAGATGTTGGTGACTGAGAGTCATGGTAGTATCACCAAAGGTCTAAAACCAGGAACCATTAAAAATGGCCTCTGGGTTGTGACTCTAGGGAGGGAAGGTCTTTTATTTGTCAGTGTTTCTCTATCATTTGATTAGTGTACTGCTTTATGAGGACTTTTTTTTAAGAAGGAAAAACCATGAGTATTTATTTTCCATTCAGTAGAAATTTTCCTGCAATGATAGTGAACTGAATCTCTATATTTCAATACTTAGTGCTAATTCTTAAAATCCTCCCCATGCCCTGCCTTCAAATCTTATTCACATGATTGTCTCTTTCTGTCCAACTCAAAAACCTGCATGCTGCACATCCCTCTGGCACAGAGGCAACTCTCAAGGCTCAGGGAGGCAGTGCACAGCACAGAACACTTTATGAGGAGCAGCTGCTGAGCTGGGCAAATATGCAAAATGGTTGAGAGAAGAGAAAGACTTCTCAGAGTTAACTTCAGGTTTGTTCTGTCTTCCGAAAGCAGTGTGCAAGCAGCTTCCCCATCTGTCTCTTTACCCTCGTGTCCCCAGCACCTACTAGCCAGACTCCACTGACCAGCATATCTAAAGCCCTCTCAAGAAAAGCCCTTTGCAGCTTCCCTTGTCTCTTGGCCCCTGAAGACTCAGAGCCTGCTGCCCCAGTGCTGCCTGCTGTCCCCTCTGCACCCAGTCTCCACATGGAACAACCATTGGACAAGGCCAAGAGGCAGCTTAACAGGTCTTCATCCTTCAACACCAGTCGTATATTCACACTGTAACAGGATCAGGAGACATCTGAGTGGCACAGACAGGCCCAGCTGCAAGGGCCTGGGTGGGAGCCTGAGGACTCCAGTGCCTCCTGTGGTACCTTACTAGCTCTGGAATAAACACGAAGGCCTCTTCCGTTGGCTTTGGGCAGCCTGAGTCTCTATATGCTATGTTTTAATTTGGACTTGAAAAGGGGAGAGTTTAGCTTCATCAGGCATTAAAAGCCCTTTCTGACTGTCCTGGAAGACCTGTTTGATAAGACTTCCTACCGTCTTAGGTGCACACACAGCACTACACTAAGCCTGGCTGCGGGCAGGTGAACATGCACCCTCACCATCCTGTCACGTGGCTCCTGCACTGGCAGGGTGGCCGGGACAGAGCCATTTTGCAGTTATCAGCTGAGGCCCAGTGTATGGGAGGAAAACCCTGGACTGCAGCAGAACATGAAACAATTTCACATCAGGCCAAGTCCTCAACACAAGCAGAATTAGTGCTAAGAGGTTAAAGGTTATTCAAGGTCATATGGATACGACACAGGTCAGGAACACTGAGAAAACTGATTAATATTATTGTGTAATATTAATATTAGTAGCAACTAACAGCAGCATGCAGGTAGATAAACGATAATGAGAAGAGAAGGGTGAAAGGGAGACAAAGTGAAAACTCACATCCGGGTGGGGGATGGCGTACTGTCCCTGGATTGTGTAGGCCTGCAGAGAGAGAGAGAGAGACACTGTCAGCTCAGGACATGGCTGGGCCTGGACTGTCACCTACCAGCGGCCCTCCCTGCACAACAAGGGCCCTCTGATGAAAGCTTTCTCCTCACTGGCATTTCCTCCTGTTCACTTCACTTAGGACAAAGGGTCAGGGAGGCTTCTGGTGGCCTGAGTCACAACCAGACAAGTGAGCCCAGGGGAGCCGCACTCCATCTCCCTGAGAGCTGTGGAAGATGCCACGTCAGCAGGAGTGGCAGAGAGAATGCAGCCCTGGGCTTCCACTCTTACTCCTCCAAGTTCTCAAAAGAAAAAAACTGAATGATCTGTTTTACTCCCAGTAAGAAGTCTACTAATTATTAACCTTTTGAAATCCAACCTTCAGAGTAAATACTTTTTGTGAAATGTTTAACGCCAAGAAATCCAAACAAAAAGGGAAAGGCTGAAAAGATAACCAAAACAAATTTTGCAAAAGCCAGATTCAGTGAGAAATGGACCTAAGTCAGTCACAGGATTGACCCAATTTGTCGCCTTTCATATCAAATCTTCACTTGACACCCCTGAAGATGGGATGGGGGTAACTGTTCTGCAGGTGGGGGACTGGGGGCAGCATACTCGTGGCACATCCTTCCAGGAGGTCATCGTGGGGTCCCCAAGGCTAATTTTGGTTTCATTATTTCCCTCATCTTCAAAACAGTGACTGGGACCATCTGCAGTGACTGCCCGACCTGTGGCCTCCTCCCACCCACCTTGCCCTGAAATCCTGCTGGATATCAACAGGCCCCATCGGTTAAGATGCTTTCAGGTAGCTTGGAAACTCATGGCCAAAGGACAAATGAACCCACAAGGAGTCCAGGGAGAGTAGAGACCACAGACGAGTTGCAGAAGGTGCCACACCAGGCCTGGGTGGTGGCATGTGTGTGAGGGACACAGCTTCCTGCACCTGAACACGTGGGGCCCCCATGCCACTTCCCATGTGATGTATACACTTGTGGGGTCCCTGTGCATCTGAGAGGGACAACTCGGGGAGGCCATGTGTCACTTCTGTGGACCCCAAACCCTCCCACAGGTTTTGAATCTGCCCAGTTTCCATCATCAACAACCTAACCCCAGGAGTTAAAGGCCCAGTGACCACCTGACAGGGACCCAGCTATAGCCCAGCTTTGAAACAGACTCAGTCCTAGTGGGGTATGGTCCCAGTCTGGGACAGCTCTGCTGCACTGGTGAAGGAAGTAAAGGAATCTTATCAGACACAGCCAAGTGTCCTTGCAAGAAAGAACTGGAGGTCTCACTGACCCGTGAGGAACAGTGTCTTGAGACCCCATCCAGATTTTGTAAAGTTGCTTCCAGGGACACATTTCAATGTGTCACTGAACATAATAGACCCCAGACTGCTGTCCCCAGGCCAGACCTGTGATGGCTCAGGACCTGCTGCCTGCTCAGCCCACCTGGGTCCCAGGAGGTCAGCCTGCGTGTCTGAACTGAACTAAGCAAGAACTTAGCTTAGGTAACTCATTATCCTAGACCATTTTAGTTTTCTGACTTTTTACTCACTTTGAGTAGTTATGTTTTACACCTGCTCATTTCTTAACAGGCTCTTCCTGAATGAACCCATTATCATACTTGATGTGCTAGAGACGTGGAGGCAGCTGACAGAAGCTGCCCGCTCTGCAACGGGAACACCATGGCCAGCTCTGTGGGGTCACCTGCTCTGCAGTGGGAACACCGTGGCTAGCTGTGTAGGGGGCGCCTGCTCTGCAGAGGGAACACCGTGGCCAGCTGTGTGGGGGGCACCTGCTCTGCAGAGGGAACACCTGCAGGCCAGCCATATGGGGGACGCCCATTCTGACAGGCATCTTTACAGTCCTTGACTGATCCAATTTGACAGAAATGCGGGAACACCATGGCCAGCTCTGTGGGGTCACCTGCTCTGCAGTGGGAACACCGTGGCTAGCTGTGTAGGGGGCGCCTGCTCTACCGCAGGAACACCGTGGCCAGCTGTGTGGGGGGCACCTGCTCTGCAGAGGGAACACCTGCAGGCCAGCCATGTGGGGGACGCCCATTCTGACAGGCATCTTTACAGTCCTTGACTGATCCAATTTGACAGAAATAAAGCAGGGCTAGATTCTCAGGCCATCTATCACTCCCTCACTTCTGAGTGTATATTCTCGCTCCTCTCCTGGGTTACCTGCATGCAGAAGTGACTCCCATGTGACTCTGTCTCCCAACACTCAACCAGACTAACCACTAGCCAGACCAGACTGCCAAGGGCACAGGTGCTGGACTCTATAAAGGCTGACATTTTAGTGACAGCCTAGGGCACAAATGCTCATGGCACAGTGGCTTCCAGCTACTGTAACTGGAGAGGTTGGTGCTACTGCCTGTTTCATAAGTAGAGAGATGAGCCGGGATAGGACCAGGGGATGCTGACCAGAGTTCCCCTGTTGCAGCTCCTGCCCTCAATCCATGCAGCTTTATAGACTCCACATTTGTGTGTATAAAGACACCTTCTTTTTGGATAAAATCACACATTTTACCACGATATCACCATGGATCTGTTTAAACATTAAGGTGGAGTCCACACAGGTTACTAACCTTCTAACTAAGATGAATTTGGGGGGGAAGGCAATAGACACGGAGTTTTGAACAAGGACTTCTCCAGCTGTGTGATGCTGTGTGCCCTGTGCTCCCTGAGGCTGGTGAGGTGCAAGGGTCATCCCAGGTGCCTCAGGGGCTGAGGCCTGGCAAGTCTCTTGCCTCTCTGGGCCCAGTTTTCTGACCTGTAAAACGGGGCTGTGCCATGTCCTGGGGCAGCTGTGAGGGTGGCATGTGCACGTGTGGGTTCTTTGCCCACAGCAGGGCAGACCTGCAGTACAAGGCAGGCTGGGGAGAAAGCACGGCTGCAGAGAGTGCCCTGCAGCTGTGACCCATGCCAGCCACATGCCAGCTGCTGTGTCACCTCACCATGTCCCAGCACTGAAAAAATGGAAGCAGACTCCCTGTCCCTCCACCCAACATGGGAAGATCTGATAAGATTCCTTTACATCATTAGAAAAAATGAGAAAAAGTTTCATTTGCCTTCTCTCTCTCTTTTTAATGATAAAGAAAACCTTATGCCTGTTCTCCCCTGCTTGGGGTCACCTTGGGGAAGCCTCTGTCTCAACTCTCCCTTGAACAAACACACATGTCACGGCCGACTGGACACAGAGCTCTTCTAGGCCAACCCCTGGCTGGACTTTTCAAAGTCTGTCTGCTGCAGATGGGCTGCAGTGACCTTGAGGTTGCTCTCCACTGCCCAATGACAGGATGTGACACTGTGAGGAAGCTGGGCAGGGCTCCTCTCCTCTAGAGGCCCTGCCAGGCCAGTGCCGGTTGCAAGCACAAGCTCCTCTGCCCAGTGAGAGGCAGGGCGGGCTCGCTCAGCAGGGCCTCTTCCCTTCCATGTGAGCAGCTTGGGAGTTTGGGGACATGTGTTTCAGGGGAACGTGAGAGCCTACTTCTAACAGTCCTACTTGCTTCCAGCATGAGCTGTAAAGTCACCTAGAATGCCCCTGCCCCTGACTATTTAAGCTTCTTGAAAACATCCAAGAACTAGATGTGGGCAGCTGTTGCCCAGGTAGAACCAGGTGTGCACGTGAATCGGAGGGTCCATCCTGTCTTGTAGGACACCGTTTCCAACACTGGCCCCCCATGATCCCCTGCCCCCAGTGCCCGGTGTGGGCCAGGAGAGCTCTGTGCCCAGCGTGCAGTGGGGTGGGAGACGTGCACGTGAGAAGGCAAGAAAACCTGAGTGCACTAACGGGCAGCGGCGGGTGCTGCAGTAAAAGGCTGAGGTTGGCAGTGGAGGCCGCGAGCGGGTCGGCTCTTACCTGACCACCTGCAAAAATGACAGGGGTGGAGGCGGGCTTTGGGCGGTAGGGAATGGTGGCACCTTTCGGTGGGGACTAGGAAAAGGGACAGGAGAGGGAGAGAGAGGTTAGAGCAGCTTCGTAGCGTGGCAGTGGGGAGGCCACCTTCCCGAGCCCACCCACTGTTGCGCCGGCCCACCCTCCCCAAGCCCCCAGACTGGGCTGAGGCCACAAGGGCATCATGGCCACCGCAGTGCCAGGGGACGGGGACACAGTCCACACCACCAGGAAGTGGAGGAATGCCATCCCTTGCAGAACATGTGGCGGGAAGGGTGGATCCTGCATCTGCACCATGTTTACTCCAGGGGGCTCCTCCCTGCCAAGCCCAGAGCTCTGGTTTAACAGACCTTGGTGGCCACGCTCCTCAGAGTAACCATCCACCCTCAACACACCCCTGTGGCTCAACCCTGGCAGGACATGGCGGCTTGTGGCTATGTGGAGTGTCAGTCCCATAGGGAGGCCAGCTGGGAGGGTCACCTGTCAGGGACCCTGCTGGGAAGCGCTGGCTGCTGCCCATGTAAGCTCCTGCAGAGCTTGCTCACACTGCTGCTGGCCCTTTCTCATGATGCATCCCTGCCAGGATGCAGGCAGCACCAGCAAGGCCGACAGGGCTGAGGTGACACAGGCGTGACAGCCCTGTGTCCTTAGAAACTCGCTCTTAAATCATCTGGGAAAAGCAGAGCCTCTCCCACAAGGCCACCGTGGGAATTTATGCCCAACCAAAGGGCTTTTCTCAGCCTGTGGTGACAGTCAATAGAGATCACAGAAAACTTCGACAGGGCTGAGGTGACACAGGCGTGACAGCCCTGTGTCCTTAGAAACTCACTCTTAAATCATCTGGGAAAAGCAGAGCCTCTCCCACAAGGCCACCGTGGGAATTCATGCCCAACCAAAGGGCTTTTCTCAGCCTGTGGTGACAGTCAATAGAGATCACAGAAAACTTATAAACACCCAATTTCACTATTAAAATGACCATTTTTAAAAAAGCTTACAGACTCCAAATAAAATATTCCACAGTCATAATGAGACTTGCTATAGTTTCCCCTGATTATTCTGTGTCTAAAATAAAGGATCAATATTCTCAAATAGCAGAATTTTCAACCTAATGCCTCCTTCTTCTTGGTCAGAAGTGATCAGCCCCTCCTGGTTCCGAGTTGTTGTCTCCCGTGGGAGCAGAAAAGCGAATCTGGAGTTCCACGCCTGAGATGGGGAGGCCAGAGCCTGGGAGCTGTGCCAGTGGGGGCAGCCTTTCCTTGCTGGGAGTTCCAGGGCCACGGCCCACTCTTGGTAAGCTGACCCTTGGCACTTAACTGTGACCTGGGGGTGCTCCTCACACTCAAAATGCAGTGAGGGGGGGACAGTTCAGCAGTGTGGGTGGCAGCATTGACTTCTGACCATGCTGCCTGACCTTGTTGAAAGGGGGGGAAGGGGCTGCCAGGCAGGACTGTGAGCTGACCCAGGCTGGGCTCCCAGGGAAGGTCATCTTCAGCATTCCTGTGGTTATGACCAAGTGCCTCCAAACACCCCTGTGCAAACTGGGGCTCACTGTGGTTTCACAGACTCCGAGTCTGTCGCCGAGAAACGTGACTAAACAGAGTGTGAACAAGAGTTGCCCATTGTCACTGCATCTACTGCATCTGTCACCAAGCTCTGTGAGAGCCTCAGCCTTGGGCCGCCACCCCTGCCCTGCAGCTCCCCTACTCCTACGGTGGCGTGCTGACTCTGATGTGCATCTTCTGATGGAGCTGGGGCGCAGGAGGCGCTGGGGCCGGAGGGTGGAGTCCGTGCAGACACTTGTGTACTTCACAGGCCTGTGGGATATGTCCGCATCCCAGGTGGCACTCCTTCCGTAATTTCATGGTGTGAGGCACACCCCTAACCGAGCTCCAAAGTCCTCTGAGGGATGAGGAGGGTCTCTACGGCCCCTTTGCTTTACTTTCCCATTTACTCCTCTGGAAAACGGACCTGACTGCTCATAGGTAGGTGTGAGAGCTCCGTGATGGGATGAGAAATGGCATGGCAGCCAGGCCAACCCTTGTCGCTGATGTCTGCATGTCACACTCATCACCTCACCCCTCACAGCTGTGGGAAGGAGACGGGAAGCTCCAGCAACTGCCCTGGGCAACAGCACCCACAGCTGTGCCCAGCCTGCTTCCATGGGGGCTACAGCAACTGCATTCAGGACCCTGACAGGGTCCCATGTTATTCTGTTCTGCACAGCTAGCCCTCCACCCCTACTAGGGATGGAGGGAGGCTGTGTCCCTCGCAGAACCATCCATACCCTCAACTGCCATGGCAAGGGTGCTGCCCCCACTACACAGAAATGCATGTGCTCCTTGCGCCTTCTCCACAGGCCACTCACCACTGCCACACGGCCCAGCCGTGGGGCCTCCTTGTTCCAGTGGCTGGGGAGACTGAACGGAGAACTTGGACCAGCACCGCACTGTCACCCTGACCAGTGTGCGGGAAAAATTTCAGAATAGGAATATTTTGAAAACTAATTTTTTCTTTTTTTACCTTTTTTTCCTCTTCCTAGAAATGCTATAATTGAAAAATATTTTTGACTTCACAATATCATACTTCAGAAGAGTAAAAACTGCAAAAACATTTTAGACAGTTAAACATGGGGTTTGAACACGTAGCCAAGTGTGAGAGAGAGACAACTGACAGCTGCCTAACAAGCTTGGGCTCCCGCGGGAGGCACGGAGGTGGCGGCCATCAAAGCCGACCGTCTGAGGAAGGGTGACCTCATTTCAGCTGCAGGAAAGACCACCAACTGTTGACAGCTTTATGAATTTTCCTTCATTTGGGTATCAGTGGAATTTAAGTTTCAGGGTGTTTCTTTCCTTCCCAAAATCTCAAGAGAGGCTTTACTTGCTCAGCTGTATCTTCTTTGCTTCTCTATTTTAATCTTCTTGGTTGCTTATCTCTATTTCTATGTTTGGGGCGTTTTTTAATGTTTTTCCTAAACTCTGCCCTTTGCACCTTGGTGGCAGATCCTTGCCGCCATCTGCAGACATGATGAGTGCAGAGTGGCCTCCTCTTCACCCCTCAGCCCTGCAAGCCCCGTCTCCAATGTGGACGAGCTCCACTTCCCAGGCTCCAAATCTTTCCTGAAAATCCTCTTCTCATCTAGGCCCAGAAGCAAAGGGGCTTGCCGCTCTCCACACTCTCTCCCCAGTGAAGATGATGGACCCACCTGAGTTGGCATTCATGGTGCAAGGGCTGAGGCCAGCAGCCACCCCTCCCCACAGTGCCCCTACACAGCACTGTTCTCTGGGTTAGGGACCCAGACCACGCTCCGGATGTCTAGCCCCCATACTGCCCTGACCGCATGAATTCTCAGGACCTAGGCACCTGAGCCCTTGCTGATGGTGCTAGGAAGCCACACCCAGGGTGGGGCCGGCGCAGGGCAAGGGGCAGCTTGCTCCGGATGTCTAGCCCCCATACTGCCCTGACCGCATGAATTCTCAGGACCTAGGCACCTGAGTCCTTGCTGATGGTGCTAGGAAGCCACACCCAGGGTGGGGCCGGCGCAGGGCAAGGGGCAGCTGGGGCATGTGCCAGCCCACGATGCACAGACGGACTGTACCTCCAGCATGACTACACAGATCTGCTTGACGCACTGGATGATGGCGTCTGGGGTCCCCGAGATGGTCACCGCCCGCTCTGTGGAGTTGGGTAACATATCCCCGGCCACCTGGACCTGGGCACCTGTGGACTAGAGGAAATGGACATTGGAAGGGGAAGGGCAGAGCGTATGGAGGCTGCGTAGGACCAGCTGGGCTTCCTAATTTTGGGGAGGCGGCTGAGGCAGTTGCACTTTGAGAATTCTTCAGTGCAAATGTGCCTCAACCGGTCAAGCTGGCGCAAGATGCACCCCCTCCCCCATCCCACCACCTCGAGGCTGTCCCGGCACCTCCCTCCATGCCAGCCCTTTGCACGCTCCCTCAGGAGCATCCTGACATCCTGGGGCAGGTGTCTTTCCATCCCAGCGAGCAATGCTAGAGGGGGTGGGCAACATGAGGAGGGGGTGTTTGGAGGGAGACGGAATGACTCTTCAAAAACGTGGAATTCTATCTCCTCTGCAGTTTTAGGTCACAGAGAAAGATGGATTCTAGCTGTGGGGCAGGAGTCCAGATGGGGGCGGCTACCCTCCTCAGGCTTTCGTGTGAATATAAGATCCACACCTTGTGCAAACCCATCCAGCTGGGACAGGGTGACGGCTTGGTGTCATCCCCAGGAGCTGAGACCTGTGGATGCTGAGGCGGACACCTTCTGGGGGCAGAAACCAAGCCACACGTCTGGGCATCACGGCGGCAATGCCTGGAGGCCCGGTCCTTCCCTGCCCTCCCCAGCAGGGCCTCTGTGCTGCATGATGCAATGGGTGGTCCCCAGTTGCTATTTGCTTATTGGATTGTTTGTCCCTATTGTAAGCTTCCTGTGGCAGGGTCTGGCGCTTGCAGACATAGCAGGTGATGCTCATAAGGCCACCCCAGGATGTCCATGCCTGCTGGAGACTCCACCTTGACTGTAGCTGGGAAAGGTCCTGTTACCTCCCTGATCTCCTTGATCTTGGAGCCACCTTTGCCAATCAGGGACCCACACTGGCTGGCGGGCACCACCAGCCTCAGTGTCACTGGGGGCTTGCTGGTGGCAGGGCTGTTGCTCATGGAGTTGATAATGTCCTAGGGAGGAAGAAAGACACGCGTGTTGGCCAACACTCCGTCCTCAGTACACACCAATGAACGGAGATGCAGGCCGAGAGGAAGTGTTTGGGATGCAGGCCAAGAGGAAGGGTCAGAGGTGGCTGTGTCACCTCTGCTTCTCCAGCCATATCCAGAGTTGCTCGCAGAGCCCCTATGCATAGAGAGGGACACAGTGGAGACCTCAAGGCCAGGTCAGGCTCAGGGTGGACAAGGAGATGTTGGCCAGATGGGCAGGAAGGGGCCTTGCACACACCAGGCACTCACACCACCCACCCAAGGCAGGGCAGTCACCGCACTGCAGGGGGGCTGGGGACAGGAGATGACAGAGAGGATGAACGGACTCAGGGCTGACCTTCGTTATGAAGACCTGCAGGGCTGACACATGAAGTGTGAATGCTGGTTTAAGGAAAGGGGACAATTGAAGTGGAAGACTGGTGGGGGGCTGTGTCTGATGCCCCAGGCTCAGCTGAGGCTGGGATGTAGGGGAAGAGGTGGTGGGGTGACAGACTAGGATGTCCAGGTGTCCAGCCTGGGGAAAGGAGATGTGTCACTATCCCAGAAAGGAGAGGGGACAGCAAAGGGTGAGATGAAGGGTGGGATTGGACTTGGCCTGCCTGGGCAGCCAGATTGTTTGGCTCATGGTTCTGATGCTCAGGAGACAGAGCTGGGCTTAGGGTTTGGGCTTGTGACTTACTAGGGTGGGTGGCACCTACAGCCATCCCCACAGGGAGCATCCCAACTGTGAGGAAGCCAGGGCTGCATGGAGGCCAGAGGCCACTGCAGCATGCATAGACAGGCTTTCTACCTGCACTGTGTGTGACCCTCACAGCTTTGTGCCTGTCATCAATCCCAGGTTATGACTCATGATGACACAATTTACTCTCTACCAAACAATGCCAATTTTCCTTCTGGAAATATCAAGCTTATGGAAAATAGCTTGACAGATGATTCCCAAAGTGCCACATCCAGGAGGAAAAGAGAGATGGAGGAGGAAGAGAAGGTGTCCCTGCAGCAGACAGCCGGGGCCAGAGGAGAGCTGGCTGGGAGGGCAGGGAGTCCCCCTAAGGGGCTTTCATGAACAGGGTTAGAGACAAGGAAGTTGCCAAGAGACTGTGGCCTTGTGACTACACCGCATGGAAACCCTGGGGAAGCCTCTGGGGTTTTGTTCCTCGCAGCACCGGGTCGGGGGAGAGGAGCTGCACCCAGACAATGCAGGGAGGCAGCCACGTGTGGGCGGGATGCGGAGACTGCGCATACAAGTGGACGTCAGCCAGGCCACACAGGACAGGGAAATTGTGATTACAGCCTCTGCAGTGACAGCCCAGAATGGTCAGGACTCAGCCAAAGACTCAGGACCAACTAGAAAAGGCCAGGTATTCACACCTAAACCACCCCCTGGATGCCCCTCTCCTAGTGAGCCGCTTCCAGGGCATACAAACCTGAAGCCCTTCCACTTGTCTGAGATAAGCTTCCTCTATAAAGTGTCTGCCTACGCAGGTGATGGTAGCCGACCCCTTGCCATGGCCAGCTCCTAATAACCTGCCTCTGTTTGGTCTTGTTGGACAGCCTTGTTTATTTCCACTTGTTGGAGAGGCCCCACTGAGGCCCGTGGGCACTGCCTGTCACTGCTGTGGCACACAGCAGCCCTGCGCCTTGTGAGGACATGGGCGTCCACACAGGCCGGGACTCTGTCCTCTGTGCCGAGCTCCTCGGCTGTTTATCTGTTTCATGCCTGGGTTTTGGTATTGGTCCCTCTTTATTTGGCATTATCAGTGGCCGCTCCTTTTCATCCCTTTGCTGGCTGTGTGTGACGGCCTTGTGTGGCACCTGTCACAGAAGAGAACCACTGGCCTGTGGTCTGAGCTCACAGGCTGGTGGGTCTGTGGTTCTCACTGCTCCAGTGTCCACCTGGAAGAGCTTTGCTTTGAGTCACCAACGAAAATGGACAAGGCTGTGCTTCTGACCCAGAGAGAGTATGCCCTCTGGCTTTCCACATGCTGGGGCTGAGGGAGGCTCTGTGTTTGGAGGTGGCCAAGATGTAGGGCACATAATCACTCCATCCTTGCGGACCTTCCTGGCGCTTGCAGGGTGGTCTGAGTCTAAATCCTCCCCTCCTGCAGGAAAAATCCTTCTTGAATGCATTTTCACCTCCATGCTAAACCTTGCACCTGTCTTTCTAAACAGCATGTCTTCACCAAGGGTGATTTTTGCTGTCAGTGGCCACCCTGGGGAGCATCTGGCTTGATAGAATTGCTCCTTTGAGAGGTGCCTTAAAAAAGAAGGGAAAAAATATTTCTCAGGTCCAATAGGCAGCATTTTTTGATTTTTATAAAGAGGCTGACTGAAAGATTCTTTGGCAAAGCTAATAAGCAACTTGAGAGACTCTGGCAACAACCTACCAGACTTGGGTCTCATTAGCCCTCCCCATCAGTCCTCTGGCACCCCCACATTCAGCTTGCCCCTTCCCCGTGTCCTTTCCATCTGTCTCCTTCATCGACTTCACCCCCCACCTTTCCAACAACTCTCCTAAGACCCCCAAGTACCAGGTGCCTGTAAAAATCCATCCCACCATGAGCCAGGAATATAGGCAACTGCAGAATTTAAACCTTGAACCAGAGCTGAATTAAGAGCTATAATATAAGGATTTCCCTAAATCCAGATGAGAGCAGCAACTATCAAGAGAAGAACTTAGAATTCTTTTGGGTACATATGACCCAGGGTTACCTGAACTGTATCAACCTGACTCTCTTTCCACGAATAAGACTGAGGGTCAAAAAAAGGCCCCAAAGGATGGCAAAGTCTCCTAAAAGCCACATATAAAACATTTCCAGTAAAAATTGACTGGACCAATCATGCAAAAAGAGAAAAGATGAAACTATCGGGAACTTATAGGACAGACTACAGAACACCTTCTGCCAACATTCAGGAGTAAAAGATGGTGCCAATGTGAGAGCAGCCCTTCGGTCCCACCTAGTCCATAGAGTTAAGCCTAATTTGAAAACAGAAATTAGAATGAGGACAGCCCTTTAGCTGAACTACGGTGCCTGGCAGCACATTCTGAGGGCTTGGGAGAAAAGAGGAGACAGGGTGCAAACAGATTCACTGCCCAGCATTCCCCAACCTGCCAGCTTCTGACAAGGCTGTTTGCAGCTATGATCCCATTTTAAGAAAGAAAAACCGAGACAAAGGAGATACTCTCAGTTCAGATCAGTGAGAGTGCCCTGAGACTGGAAAAGAGGGCCCAGCATCCCTGCCACAACCTTTACCCTCAGGGCGAATAAACTAAGGGTATCGATGACCGTCCCCATCAATCTCTGATGGACATGGGGCTACTCTGTCCACGTCAAACCTGCCAACTTTACTCAACCACCCACACGCAGGAGTATTTCAAATAACCTGCAGATTTTCGCTTCTTATTTCCCAGTCTTTAACTCTCAGACCCTGTCTGGAAAACATTCCATCCTGCTGTGACACCCTTGAAAATGGAATGGTACCCTTAAATGTACATCAGAGACTGTTTCCTGGGGTGCCTCTATTCACAAGCAAGTTGTGTCTGCTCTGAGTGCACCTTTGCCTCCTCTTTATGTTGGACACAGACCCCAGATAATGACCTTGCCACTGTGCCTGACACTCAGTGGGCTGGAAATTCTACTGATATAGGCAAAATAACTGCAGCAGCACCTATTAAGTTTCAGACAGGCTCTACTAAAGTAGTACCAGAACTCCCCTGTCCCCTTGCTCCAGAAGCAGAGGAAGCACCCAAGCCTGCATAGGGAAGATGCATGTCTTCTCATGCCCGCCTGGCCCTGGTGCATGCCTGGCCTGCCAGCAAAGACAGTGGATGGGTGACATTGACAAAATTGTTGTCCCCCACTTCCTCGCAGACTTAACCGAAACACCGTCCTGTCATCAACCCCTCTGGAAGCCACCTGCTTCATTGCAGTGGACCTGCACTCTGCCTTTCCCAGTGTGTCTCAGGACCGGGTGAGTCAATACCTTGCTTCTTTCCCCTGGGGAGGACAACAGTACACCTGGACGGTCACGCCCTGGGGGCCACTGAATTCCCCTCCTTCTTTCCCCAGGTCCTCAATCAAGACTTAAAAGACCTAAGTCTCCCTGGTGACTTAGTTCTGATACAACATGCAGATGATTTCCTATTTTGCTCAGATAACAGGGAGGCCTGTGAAAAGGGTTCCATCTACTTGCTCTCAGCCTCAGCAGACTCTTGCTGAGCACTCTGACCTAACACTATACCTCAAAACTGAGACTGGAGGTCATCAAGCAAGGCATGTGCTATGGGCTGAGCTGTTCCTCTAAAGTTCACATGTTGAAGTCCGAATCCCCAATGTGACTGTATTGAGAGACGGGGCCTTCACAGAGGTAATCAAGGTAAAATAAGGTCATCAGAATGGGCCCTAATCCAATCTGACTAGTGTCCTTATAAGAAGAGGAGTTAGGACAAAGACACACACACATAGAAAAGGCCATGTGAGGACACAGTGAGAAGACGGCCATCTGCAAGACAAGGAGAGAAGCTTTAAGAGAAAGCAACCCTCATGGCACCTTGATCTTGCACGTCCAGCCTCCAGAACTGTGAGAGAATCAACGTCTGCTGCTCATGCTGCCCAGCCTGTGGCATTTTGTTATGACAGCCCCAGCAGACTACAGTGCTACAACTAATCTAAGCTCTCCTTTGGAATACAGTCCCCTCCCTGAGGTAGCTGACGGCAGAACTTGCTGCACTGACCAGGGCTTGTCAACCAGTCAAAGGCCCGAGTGTACATATGCACAGATGGCAGGCGTGCTTCTGCGGCAGCCGGGACATTGGGAAGCTTTAGAAACAAAGGGGTTTCTCACCTCTGCTAGAACCCTATGCAACATGAACAGGGCATTAAGGAACTCTTAGATACACTCGTACTTCCTAGAGAGGTGCTGATAATAAAGACTGAGGCCAACGCCAAAGGAGATAACACAAATTTGAAGGAAATGCTCTAGCAGATCATTATGCCGAGTGAGCTTCTTTAACAAAAGTTATGTTTCTATCTAAACCCTCAAAGGATAGATCTCTGGAGGCATTCATAGAGGCCATTACAAAATACCAACATTTAGTTCCTGATGTTGAAAAGGAAGACTGGAGAAAATGTGGCTGTCCCTGTCACTCAATCTCTGGTTTTCTTGATAGCTGTGGGTGGTACCAGATGATTTCAAATGGATATTAAGCTAGGTCAGTCCATGAAACTGCTCATCATGAAATAGACAATTGGTGAGCATCTTAAATCCACATTGGTGGGAAACTTTATAAAAACATCTGAGGCTATTTCAGGCCACATGTTGCATATCAACAACCCGATCCTGGAGGTGAGGCGTGGCCCAGGACCAAGACCTCACAGGCCCTGTGAGCACCATCAGATGGGCTTAATCCAGCTTCTGCTGTCCATGGGGTTTGAATATGTTTTAGTTATTGTATGTCTATTTTCAGGATGGGTTGAAGGTTTTCCTTTCTGAAAATCTACAGCTCTTAAAGTTGCTAAGAATCTGCTTGATTCTGTTTCCAACCTGGAGCGTACAAACTTTTACATCCAATGTCAAGGTGCACACTTCACAGAGCCATTATAAAAGACCTCAGTGAGTGATTACCCTCACTCAAAAACTACACTGTCCTCATCATCCACAATCTTTTAGAAAAACTGAAAGAACCAATGGCATCTTTAAATTAAAATTATCAAAACTCTCAGAGTCCCTTGGCCTCAGGTACTCCTACTAGCCCTATGGCCATGCAGGCCACTCCTGTGGGGACACCTCAGTTATCCCCTTTGGGTTGGCAACTGGAGGGCCCATGCCTTTAGGGATTCCACCTTGATGCCAGACTGTGTCTGCTGCAGGCAGAGATGGCAAAACAGTGCAAGGGCCTCCCCATGCCCTGCCTACCACCAGCAGGTTAAGGTGCTATCCCACAAAATCTCCCAAATGTCCTCTTCACGATCTTCAAACAGGAGATGTTGTCTATTGGAAGAAACATCAAAGAAAAGCTTCTCTTAAATCTCACTGGAAGGAGCCTAACTACCCAACTCTTAACAACAAACACAACACTGAAACTCCAGGCAGTCAATCCTTGGCCACACACTTCACAGTTAAAACAGCAATTCAGAATTCCACACAACTGGAAAGTTACTCCACCAGGGGACCTCAAACTGAATTTCTCAGAGATCCTCTAGAAGTAGCCATTCTCCAGAAATAGACAGGTGATCCAAGACCTTCATTGCAAGTTGGTGACCATGGACAACAGACAGTCCCCACCTCAGATGCCACACCAAGACCCCTGCCTAATTTCTGCTGTTTTTCATCTGCTTGCTAACAGTCCTTCTTCCTCTTATTTTCTACAGACCCCTCGTTGTCATCCACTTCTAATGGCCCCTTTTCTCTTTTCTCCCCACTTTATGATAGCTATTGGGTCAGAACACACTCATTCTAATGCCATTCTTAGATTATTCCAAACAGCAGCCACTGCCCTCAGTCTTACCAACTACCAATATGCTATCAATTCCTAGACCCCAGGATAAAAATCTCTGGATAGTTCTGATTTCATCAAATGAAACCCTAGGGAATTACAGTTGATGGTGTTTCCCTTGTGTCTACATGGACAATTGACCCTAAAAAAGTCAACCTGTGACTTTGCAAGTGTCCCTTTCTCCCAGAGAAATAACCAGTTATTAAAGTCTGTTAACAGACCCCAGGTAATTATAACTTTAAGATCAACAACTTTCATGAAGCAATGCGCCAAATACTTACCACCTAGGAGAGACTAACGAAGAACCAAATTGTCACCCAGCTAATGTAAGGCCTCGAGTCCAGCTCTGCGTCACCAGTAGTGACTTTTCCCAGGTCTCTACGTGACTCTACCAGACACTGCTTTCGTTGGGGCCAGGACACCTGGTAATGTCTGCCTCAGACTGGCACCTCGCCCTTGACTGTCCAGGTACCTGCTGAGAGGAGCTGCCGACTCGCTGTTTGTAAGAACCCCCGGCACAGTGCTCCTGTTGGCAGAGGTCACACAAACAGGAAAGCCTGTGGGAAGCCTCTCCCTGGCTCTGGCAGAGCTACCTATGACACCACCTCTGCCCCACACGGAGACAGATCAGTCTCAGCTCACTGGCACAGGCCGTGATGGACATTTCTGACAGAAAAATTTACTCTCCAGCTTGATCACTCCTTTGAAAAAAAACATGAAATGCATCTCTAATTAACTTCTGGTGATTAAAAAAAATGGAAACACATAAAAATATTAAGATTCAACTCACTGAGAGAAGAACACAGAAGTACCATGTACACACACACACATACATACTTACATGCACCAGCATGCAAGTGTACATGTCTGTCTCTCCACCTTTATCTGCCCACACTAAGCCAACATTAAGATTCAACTCACTGAGAGAAGAACACAGAAGTACCATGTACACACACACACATACATACTTATATGCACCAGCATGCAAGTGTACATGTCTGTCTCTCCACCTTTATCTGCCCACACTAAGCCANATGCACCAGCATGCAAGTGTACATGTCTGTCTCTCCACCTTTATCTGCCCACACTAAGCCAAACTACATCAGCTCTCCCTGGGGGAGGTCAGCTGCTGTGGGTGGGTGTGGCTGAGGACCAGGGTCATGCCAGCCAGGGCTTTGTTGAGGGCACTGCTGGCTGGATGCTGTAGGTGTGAGTGCAGTACAAGGGTCAGGGGCAGCTGTGTGCCCTGGGTGGAAGGTGTGGGGTGTTTTGAGGCTGTGCGTGGTGCTCTGGGGGCAGGGTCTGAAGAAACGTGATGAGGTGGGCTTCTCCAACACACGCAAGCTGGGAAGGAAGTGGGAAGGACGGAGCAGGAGGTTCCTGGGAGGCCAAGGAGGTAGGAGGAGCCCAGAGGAGCCTGTGGCTGAGCAGGGCAGCCTGTGTAGCTGGGCTGCCCCAACTCCAGATTCAGGGGAGAAGGGGCCCGTGGAGACAGCTGGAACCAGGCCCGCCCACCTCACCTCCTCAAACTTATACGCGATCATGGCAAAGGCCTTGAAGATGGCATCCGTTGGGCCCGTGATGGTCACGATTCTCTCTGGGCAGTTTCCTTCTGAGATGTTGATCCTCGCACCACTCTAGGACAAGAGCAGAGCAGACCCCAGCAACCAGATCACAGCCACTCGCTCCATCAATGCAAACACAAGCTTTGGCCCCGACTGGCCACCTCATCTTTCAACAGTAATCTTTTCAGTAATCTCCCAAAAAGGGAGGAATTTCAATTAGCAAGAAGAATCCAAGTGATCTCTTCCCTGCACAGGGAAGTACAGAAGGCCTGCACCACTCCAGGTGCACTGCATTCACCACTCACGCCCGGCAGAGACCCTGCCACCCCTGTGAGCACAGGCAGGACTGCAGCAGGGCCGCGAGGGCCGCAAACAGCACCAGCTGAGACCCTCCTGGCCTGAGCATCCTGACCTGCCTGGAAGCAGAATGTCATTCAGGGCAGGCCACACTCACCTCCTCCCGCATCTTCTTCACAGTCTCTCCTTTCTGGAAAAAGATTTAGACAACAAGGAGAAGGTGTCACTCATGGCCCCACTGAGGAAAGACTCATGAGGTACCCGGAGCTGCCTGTCGCCAGCACTCACAGCTGTGCCCCCAGCTGGTATCGGGCCAGCCAGCCAGCCTCTGCACTGTGCAGGTCAAACTCCATTCTCACCTCCCCTTGTGGCCATTTCGGGTGAGGAAACTGAGGCACACAGCTGGCAAGGGTGGGGCGGGATCTGCCCTGACTCGTCACACCAACCATGGCACTTTATCCAGGGGGCAGGATGGGTCTGGTCCACAAGGTGTGTGGCACAGCTGCACAGGGATCCTAGTCACCCCCATCTCTCATGGTGCTGACCCTTCGAGGCACCCCCTGAAGCTCTTGTGAGAAAGAGCCCGGATGATAAACAGTTGAAGGCACCCCCATGAGATAGGATGATGGAGGAAAGGGACACCAGGGACCCCCAGAGATGGTCTAAATGTGACCAAGGCAGAGGGCAGCCTCTCCTTCCCCACAGGCAGCAGACTTCCAAATTGTCTCTTACTTTCCCCCCTTGGAAACGTGTCTTTTATTGTAGAATGGGAACATAAAGAGGATTCATTACCCTTCACTATCAGTCACTGGAGATTGCTTAGGTTACACAGCCTGCTGAAGAATACAAGCAAAATAATTCTTAGTGGGGTCTCAAACCTGCAATAAAGGACTGGCCACCAAAGCAGTGGGTAGGGGGGCTGCCAGGGGACTAGCTGGGGTCTTATTAGGGCAGGATGGAGGGAGGATGCCTCCCCTTTGCTCCCACAGAGCCAGGACCAGCTTCCACGTGGTGCAGCTTGAATGCCAGGAGAGGACATTGACAGGGCTGTGACAACCACACTTCCCAGCACTGGGGGCTGCCACCGCCCTCACTGTCCCCTAACAGAGACCCCAAGGAAGGCAGAGAGTTCATTCAATAATTACCTTCCCAATGATGCTTCCAACTTCCTGTAGGAATAAAATCACAAAAAGATGATGTCATACAGCAGAAGGAGAAAAAAAATCTGGAACAGACTTTGCAAATGGACTCTCCTGTCTACCTTCCTAATATGAGTGAGGAGGAGAGATGTTAGAGTCTGTCACGAGGGAAGTGTCCAAGCCGGGCCATCTATAAAGGGGCCACTCACCTGACCAAGCGCAGGGACGGAGCTGACTCTGACTGACGCTGCCTGCAGAACACCAGCTGCTCTCCAGAGAGAGAATTCAGGAGGCACCCCTAATGCACTTAAGGCCTCAAGGAAACCCCACAGGAAATACACGAAAAATAAAATCTCCCCAAGTCTGTGATATAAAATTTAGCACTGTTATTGCTCTGTGACTTATTTTCAGAAAGTAGAATATTCAGAGAAGCGGTGGAACATGCCACCACAGTTGTGAAGTCAGGCCCGGGACGGTTCTGGGATGTGCACTCCCAGCTGGGCCAGGCGGCCACAGCCTTTCCCTACCCAGCAGGATAGACCCAGACAGGTGCTCTGACAGCATGTCACTCAAGGTAAGGCCAGGCCTGGCGTCTAGCTGCAGAGAATGACATCCTTCAAAATCTGACTCATTTCCCTTAGTACAACCAAGTCCTCAGCAGTGACAATGTTCCTGGGGAAGGCCCTCGTCTGCTGAGGCTGGGCAGGAGGGTGTGTGTGGCAGGGGCTGTGGATGCATGCGGCAGCTGGGCAGGATGTAGTGACCTCCCCCACCCCGTCATGAGTCATGAGGGCACCCTCCCCTCCCATGGAGTGTGGTGATGCCTGTTGCTGCTGGAGGTGGGGACCGTGTAACTGACCTCACAGAGAGCCCTACCCCTGGTGCATGCCTGGCTTCCGACACTTAGTCAGGAGAAGGAAAGCTAGGTGGTTCTGGCTCCATCACAGAAACGGATGTTCTGGGTGTGAGCACCACCTCCGCCCCAGGGAGGAGGGCAGGTCTCCTGGAAATCTAGGATGCGCCAGTGAGACAGGTGCTGGAGCCCAGAGCCTCTGCCAGCCTCCCTGGCAGGAGACCACAGGCAGATCTGGGAGCTGGGTTTCTCATGAAAAAACAGGAGACAAAGGACCCAGGATGAGGCCTGTGCTGTTGGGCCGGAGCTAGAGGTGTGCGCCTCAGGGCTACACACAGAGAGATGAAAGTGGGATGAGTGTCATGTAAACATGTGTGGCCTATGTGTACACTCCCTAGCTCTGTCTTGGACCTGCAATCGGTGAGAAGCAGAGAGACACGCAATGCCCCAGTCTTGGCTTCCAGACATTCCTGTCCACTCACAGGAGTCGGGGCTCTTGGAAAAACGGCTGAGCCAGGAACGGGACAGGAAAAGACAGGACGGGCATGAGTAGCATCTGTGCTGAAAGGTGAGACTGTGAGAGGATGGGGACTGAGAAGCTGGCCATGTCATGGGCAGCATGCACATCAAAATAAACCCTGACAGTCATGGGACCACAGCCCATGGGACAAAAGAGCAAACCCTGCATCCAAGAAGATATGAGTGAGTGATACGTGCATGTGCTGAGCGTCTGGTGACATGTGGCACATTTGGATAGCCTCTACATCTCTCCCTGCCAGTGATGTCCTGCTGACAAGGCAGGAGAAGCAGCTCTTGGTGCAGCCTGGCAGGCATCACCCGCCATGCGACCCATGCAACCTCCACCAGGAATGGGGTGCAGTGAGATCTGGGCAGTGACAGGGAAGCTGCTGTGGCACTTCTGCCAACAGCGGGGGGCACCAGATGAGGTCAACGTGAGGGATGTTCCACAGAAACACTGGACGGCCACTTTCAAAATGAAAGTCTCCAGATTGACGGAGACTAAAGAGAGATAGTGAGGGAGTGCTGCGCGTGGTTCTGCCTGGAGACCCCATTATCAAGGGCAGGAGTGCATGATGTGAACACCCTGACTTTGGGGATGTGTGGTGGACATGCAAGGGAATGTCCTTTTGTGCAGAGAACACACACTAAGGTAATCAGTGCAGGTTCCCCCAAAATGTAATTTGGACTGTACTTGGAACTGCTTTGCAAGTTTGGACCCCAGTGGTGGGCATGACCCCCCCTTCTCTGTGGCTCTCTGTCCTGCTTTCCATACCTTTCCATGCATCAGCAGGCGGATAGTCAGGGTCACGTTCAGGCCACCTTCTGAGACCTTGGACTCCATCTTTCTCCCAAAATGCGGCTGGGGGTGGTGGCTTAACGTGCTGAGGGTGCTATAAGGAAGGACAGATGGGGCCCAGATGGCGTCACCTGGAAAGAGAGGACACAGCTGCTGCTAGCCAAGAACAACTTTGATGGCCAATGCCCATCTGCAGGTATCCTGGTTTCACCGCCGGGCATGGGATGCTGTTGCGATTACCACGACATGCTGGTGAGCTTCACCTACTGGGGGCATGGGAGTCACGGAAGTTCAAGGGATGGACTTTGGGGCGAGCCCACCAGGGCTGGATCCTGGCCCACAGCTGACTAACCATGGGACCCTGGGCAGGTCATTCCAACCCTGTGGCCTCAGTTTCCACATCAGTAATGAGTCACAGGAGCACCTTTCTCAGAAGCCAAGGGTGAGAGGAGTCATCCCAATAAAGCCCTGGGAACGTGATGTTCCCATAGCCAGCGTCTGCAGCTACGCAAGTCTCTCCTATCGGTCATGGAAAGGGTACGTGGGCAGCAGCAGTGGCAGCAGTGGTGACAAGGTTTCCACAGTACAGTGCTGCTTAGTGGACAGAGGAAGGGCTGGTTTGGGGGGATGTGTGTGTGGTGCGGGTCCTGGACCCTGGGGATCCACATGAGGCTCAGGGTGGGGTGTCCCGGTGGACCACAGGGCAGAGAGCACAACAGGCCTCCAGAAGCTCTGCATGCAACCTGCCCAGGTGTGTACCTGAGAGGTGGGTGGAGCTGCCAGAATGATAAAGGAGGTAGTCATGGAAGCCCTCAGAGGAACAGAGGGTGCACGGTGAGTTCCTCCCACACAGTTCCACACCTAGTCCTTCAATAAACAGAAATCCACGCCACATGCCTAATGAAATCCTGCAGGAAACAAGTCCTGTGGAACCCATGTGTGTCCACCCCTGTGGCAGCTGGGCTGCCTGTCACCCTGCACAGATGACTCGATCCACCAGAAGGAGAGACTATTGGTTACAAGTCATGGCAAAAATTTTTTCCTCAACAAAACATCTCTGCTAAAAATATGCTAAAAGAAAAAAAAAATATGAGGGTACTTCAAAAAGTTCATGGAAAAACAGAATTGAAAGATGATACAAATCTTCCCGTGAACTTTTTGAGGTACCCTTGTAAAGCACAGGAACAGAGCATATTCCAGGTACTTATGAGATGAATGGGAGGAGATACTTCCCAAAGAGCAGCCTCTGGTGATAGACAGAGCCCACAGTGACAGCTATGCATGCACATGTGCATTCTTGAAATGACACACTATTACACACTTGTATTTCATTAGCAATCTCAAATTGTTAGTTCTAATTATTATTTGTGATAAAATGACACTTTCTGAATAACAAGGATTTTAACACAGCACTTTTACATAAAATTTAAGAAGGATTTTACATAGGAAAGAGGATTTTTAAAAATCATCTTTACATAGTAATGTTCTCTATCTTCAGTGTCCAATAAGGTAGCTACCAGCCACATGTGGCTATTTACATAAAAATTCACTAAAACTGAAAACTAAAAATTCACTAGCTGCCTTTTAAATGCTAAATAAATAGCCTCATGTGTCTGTGCAGGGGCCTATATGGAAAATCACAGATAAAGCATTTCTATCACCGCAGAAAGTTCTGCTAAACAGCGTGGTTCACACGATCCCTTCAGGACACTTGACTAAGTAGGGCACCCACAGAGAAGAGCTCAGGAAGGAGAGGACAGCATCCAGCTCAAGTGATAGGAGTGGCATCAGTAAGCCCCACTTGTGCCTAACCAGATGCCCTGTCATAGCCCAGCAAAGCCCTTTTTAAAGGTCTGTGTATCTGCACCAACGAACTGGATCACACCATGGCCAGTCTGGGGCTTCGTGCTTCCTTTTTAATTGCAAATATCTCCTTCTTGCAGGGGGACAGCAGGGCCTGCGGCCATCTGTTATGCAAGCGTGTCAGCCCAGGGAGGAGAAAGTGGGTCAGCTCGCGCCAGGAGTGCTCGGGGCTCCAGGCTGTCAGCACTCATCAGTCATGTGCCCAACGAGCTGCTGTGCAGGCAGTGCCTTTCTTCTCATGAGCGCACAGAAAGCTGTCAAAATGTCCTCTGTCAACTGGGAAGGAGGAGATGTTCTGCGTAGTGGCACAGGTCACCTGTGACTCAGTGGCCTGAAACCTGGGGAAAACACCTTGCTCCAGCCGGCAGCTCCCACAGCCACAGACCTCTTGGCAGGCATGGGGTGGACAAGGCCTGTGGCCCTTCCTCTATGAGTCCAGATGCTGTCCCTCAGGCACCCGTTCCTCCATGGTGACCTCGAGAGTGTCCCAGCCTTGCTCCTATATCAGGAGGCCACTTCTGCTCCTTCCCAGCTCACACTGACCCGTCCACCCAGAGTCCAGGGGCAGCTTCGTGGGCTACTGAGGAATAAAAGGTTAAAGTGGAATTCAGTAGGAAGCAGTAGCCCACTGCCCTGGCCACAGTCATCCAAAGGCAAGCAGCCCCTCAGGATAAAACCCCACTCTGCTCATCCCTCCACTGCACCACCATTCTAGAAACGGTAAGGTCTCTCCCATCCATCGAGGTCTCCTCCCTCCATTCTCTTCAGTGCTGGGGATTTAATGTATTTTTAGCTCATTTAGTGGGAGGAAGAGGAGGACCAGGCACGGTCAGCCCCTGCGGGGGCTGAGGCCTCCCCTCTGCACATGCACAGGGAGCCATCCAGTCCATGGTTTAAGTGTTGCCTTGGCAGACACAACCCACAGATGTGCCTCAGCCCTGAACACGCCCTGCACCTGGACTCCCAGGGGCAGCAGGCTGTGGCCAACTTGTTCCACCAGTGGAGCTCCAGGCTACCAGTCCCCGCCGTCCTCTGTCCTGCTCAGCACTCCTGCCTCCCTCTCTCACCCCCATCCCATTCGTTAACAAATCCCAATGGCTCAACCTGCAACGGGGATGGGGATGCAGGATTGAAGACTTTCTGGCCCCTCCCCCCTACCACACCCTGCCACCTGCCCTCCCTTCCTCCCTCCACTCCCACAGGGAACCAGTGATGCCTCTAACCAGGAACTCAGACCTGGCCCCTTCCCTGCTCAGAAAACCTTGCCACTGTCTTCCTGTCCTCTCTGAGTGAAGCCTACGTCTGCATCCTCCAGATCCTCCACTGCCACAGGCCCTGAGGGTGAACACTCTCACTTGCCCCTCCTCTTTCCGGAGGCCCCTCTGCACTCACTGGCCCCTTCCCCAGCTCCATCTGTGCTCCACCATGGCACTTCCTGGAGGCTCCCTCCCAGACTGTGTGGCACTGAACTGGAGACAGTGCTGGTGGAGACAAGGCAAACAGTGAAAGTGCCTCAAAGACACACACAGGCTGAAGAGACAGGGAACGTGGCATGGGGGCTGGGTGGTCAGGGGGCAGGGTGACCAAGGGCCCTCTGAGGGCTCCATGTAGGAGACAGAGCTGTCCAGCCTCAGCACCCAGGCAGTGAGGACGACAGTGTAAAGGCCCTAAGGTGCAGAGACCTCTGAGGAAGGATGTGTTGCCCCAGTGGCTGGGAGAGCAGTCAGCAGACAACCTCTGAGTCAGCCCCTTGGGACCACCTCGTCCAGGTGCCTGTGGCTCTTCTGGGCCTGCCATGCAGCCCACGCCTATTTCCTCCTCCCTGGCAGGGGCTTCTTCCAGGGAGCCCGAGTTGCACCAGTGTGCTTAGGACAAAGGAAAGAGACCAGTGAGGCCACAACAAGTGGGCAGGAGGGGAACAGAATGAGACGGCTCGAGTGGGGGAAGGGCTACACCAGGTGGGCTGGGCACCCCTGGAAAAAGTCAGCCTGCATGGTGAAGGGGACCTGCACCCAGCAGTGGCACAGGCTGATTCACACTTATCCCCTGGATAAGGGATAAGTATGTTCCATAGCCTTTCATAACTGACGATTAATAAATTGCACATTCTTAAAGTCCACCATGGGATAAGTCTGGCCATGTGCAGACACCAGAGCCACCGCCGCAGCACGTTCACAGCAGGGAACACACAGCAGTTCCCTGCAGTCCCTCTTCGTGCTCCACCCACTACTGTCCCCAAACAACCTCCTGTTTGCTGTCTATTGCTATAGGTTCTGGGACTTTCTAGGAGTTTATATAAATAGAATCATATAATACGTATTCTTTTTTGTCTGGCTTCTTTTACTCAGTATTTTTTGAAGATAGTATCCATGTTGTTGAGTGTATAAACAGTCCATTTCTTTTAACGGTTTCGTAGAATTCCATTGCATGAAGAAACCACAATCTGTTTTCCTACTTACCCACTGAAGAACATTTGGACTGTTTCCAGTTCTGGGCTAGGATGAATCAAGCGGCTATGAACATCCCTGCACCGTTCTTCATGTGGAAGTAGCTTTTACTCCTGAAGTAGGTAAATACCTATGAGTGGAGTAGTTGGATCATGTGGTAGGCTCATGCTGAACTTTTAAAGAAACTGCCAAACACTCTTGTACAGTACTGTTTTACACTCCCACCAGCAGTGCAGAGAACTGCAGCTCCTCTGCAGCCTTGCCAACACTTGGTTGGCCAGTCTTTTTCATTCTGACTATTCTAAAAGAAGTGTAGTGGCAACTGGGCTGCGTGAACATGAACCAGGGATGGGAGCCCCTACGTTCCCCGTTTCTCACATTTGCCTCTCTTGACATGTTGGCTCTGCTCCCTCCTGTGGCAGAAGAGCCTGCAGGACATGGCTGCAGCAACATCCCCGTGAGGGACAGACTCAGTTCAAGTCTGTAATGTCCTGAGGAAGAGCTCTGGCTGCCCTGGTGCAGGTCAGGCACTGAGGTCAGGGAGGCAGGGACTCGACACAGGGACCTATGGCTCTGTGCTGAGCGTTTCTGAGGAAGGGGAATGGTTGATTGGAGCAGGTCTCAACTCCTAGGCAGGGCAAACAGGACTTCAAATGCTTCATTTACTTGTCAAAGCTCCCCTGGTTTTCAAAAGTATTTGCTCTCTAATACCACATTGCAGAGAACTTTGGGAGATCATAATCCCCATGTCTAGATGAAATCTTCATGTTCTTCCCTTGGGGACACTAGTGAAAATGTTTTCCCCTTGAGAATGCTATTGC